TTTTTTTTTTTTTCTTTTTTTTTCCGAATATATCTTAGTTAAGCCAGTCTGGCATTCTCTTGTGAATCTTGCACAATTATTCCTACAGCAAAACATGATTAAGGCGCTTGTACCTACAAGGATATTTAGTTTTTTTTTTTCCTTTAATTATTTAACTCTGCAGATTCTGCATGTATCTGATGTGGATGTAAGAGAGACCAAGATGATGGGTTCATCTCCAGTAATTATTGTAATGGTATGTAAATTATTACTTCCAGAAGTTCATTGCTAATTTTCAGAGTTAATCTTATGCAGTAGAAATGAAAACTTATATGAATGATTTTGTTCAATGAATTTTCAGTTTCAAACACAGCAAATCTATTGTGTACGTGATAGGAATGGGTCAATTACAGAAGGAGGCAAGGTAAATGCTGTGTTGTTTAGCTGTTTATATATTTCAATTGCTACAATGTGAAAATGCTATACTTATTTGTGTGTTTAGACATACGAAATCATAATTGGTAAAATTTCGTGTAGTTTTTTACGTCCCATTTGAGTGAGCAGGTGCCTCTTAGTGGTGTAAACATTTATAATGCCATTAATTTGCAAATTTTGCCTTCCTTTTCCCTTGGTAATGTTGATGATATTTGAAAAATTACGGAAGGCATGGATCAAGTAAAGATGAATGATGTTTGTACTTTTATTTCACATTTAGATGATATATATTGCACGGAAATGCTTGGTTTCGTAGTTGCACTATTTGTCTACTTGGATAAACTTTCTCAGCAATACTTATAGGAGAATAAAAGAACAAACGTCAAGCGAAATAAATTTCTCCATAAACTAAAACTAGTTTATACGAAAGTTAAAAGTAAGTTTTCAGAAAATCTGATATGAGAGAATATCTACAAATTTGTTTTTGCATGAGTTAATTTTAGTTTATAAAGAAGATTATTTCAATTTTTATTTTTATTTTTATTTTTTCTCTTTTAGAAATGTGTGTAGAAAAATTTATCCAAACATGGCCTATATATAAAATGGTTTGTTTTGTAATGAGAAAGACATGTTAATTACCTGTCTTCTCCCAATCTCCCCCGTTAGCTCTTATCATGTCTCAGTGGTTCCTGGTCTCTTATCTGGTGCTTGAGCTTTGATTTATTTTCATGGTTTTTGTTGTCACCATTTGAGTACGTAAATTTATAGTGTTGTCAATGTGCAAGTTAATGTACAACATAATCTTGGACGTGTGTAATACCATTTTCATTTTCATGAAGTGAATGCAACCTTGATTGTCTGGTTTTAACCAAGATTTTTTTCCTTTCCTAGGATACAATCCACACTGTATTCTATTTTTGGGCATTACAGCAAATGGACCAAGAAGATCGTGGAGAAGATGGTATTTACCTAATGTGGAGACTAAGAGAAATGCAACAGCAAGGCATACAAGCTCTCATCTAGTTTTTGACATGATTATTGCCTTTTCGGGGATTTGTATAATTGAGCCTTTATATTCTATACTAAATTTATGGATTTCATTTCTTGGGGCCAAGTTGCTACGTCCCGGTGATACATCCTTTAATTTTTATTTTTTTTTATACTAATTAGAAAAATAATTTGCACCGAGTTTATTGTTGTATGTTAGATGACCTAGGCGACATTTATTCTGCTTTCAAGCCAGAAGTGGCAAATTGTTAATATGGCGAGGACAAGTTATTTATAATAATACTGGTATCTGGCTCCTACGGTAAGCATTTTTCTTTGTTTACCATAAGATCAATGTGTATAAAATTGGCGAAAGAATATTTATAGTACTTCTTTTACAACAATGTATTGAATTGAATTAAATATAAACAAATATCTTGTGTTTCTAAGAAAGCAAGGAGTATAAAAGTTGTTATGATAAGAACTACTATCTTGAAAGAAAATTAATGCACTTCTCCTACAACTCGAAATTCAGTTTGTTTTTCAAGATTATGCAACAACGTTGAATTTAAATACTAAAAGTCAAAATTGTTGAAGCAATGTCAAGAATACATAGGAAAAGAAAATTAGAAGAAAGAGAACAAAAGCTAAAAATATATAAAAGTTTCATGCTTATAATAATAGCTTTCCACAAACATGTTATAAAAAAAAATAAAAAAAAAGCTTTGGATCAAATTAAATGAAAGTTAGGCTTTACTGTCTCTCTATATATAACCATGTCATTGATACAAATATTTTTTTTTGACTTTGTCGACTCTCAATATAACCATGTCATTGATACAAATATTTTTTTGACTTTGTCGATAGTTAAATTTTGTTGAAAAATTTAACTGACCACCTTTAACAAAGTTTTCTTAATTAAATTCTTTTCATACCAAAGACTTTCTTAAATAGAATTAATCCAATTATTACCAAAATGTAAGTAGACAATTATATCCTTTTAATTTGTTTATAGCAGCGTCCTTCCATCTTCTAATTTTTTCTATTTACTTTTTTTTCTTTTTTATCAAGTTCTTGTGTTCAACAATGGAGACTGTGAGACTTGAACCTGGAATGATTAATGCAATAGTTTGAGTAATAAATCAATAACAATAAAAAAAGCCAAAATGTTGCTAACAAATATTAAAAAAAAATTCCAACCGATAAAAGGTAACTTACAAGGTGCAACCTTTAAATAAGAGTTGTAACTAATATATAAAAGTTTGAGGTTGGCGAGAAAGAATAAAGGACATTTTAATTGCCATTAATTCAATATTGTTTGCCAATGACTTGCATATGTATGAGATACGAATGACTAGCACATGTATCAAACTATACAAGTTAATCACTTCCTATCTTTGAATGTTTAAATCGATAGTTCCAGATTCAACTCTCACCATCTCCATTGCTAAACACAACAAGAACTTCAATAGATCTTGACTATCTCTTCCCTTGTTCAAAAGAGCAAAAGTGGTAGGCGAGAAAGGGATTTCAACTCATGTTGTTTTGATTGATACTAACAGTAGATATGTTCTAATATATGAACAAATTTTTGGTTATTAAAACCAAGAAAATATATCTTATTATGTTTCAATGTACAAGGAAAATAACTTATGTAGGAAGCTAAATACAAAACATAGCTAAGTAACTGAAACAAAAATGCAATTGTCATAGGTACAACTGTCATAATAACAAAATAATAAAAAGAACTCATTTTATATTCCTAATGTGTTAACGTTGATGTTGTCCTTGATGGCAATTTTAATAATGAAGATGGAGATCAAACTCAAGAAGATTTTTGCAAATGTTGTAAAAGAACACGAAGGAAAAAAGTTTAGGTGATTTAGGACCAGATCCCTAGGACTCGTGTGTCAAAAGAAGTCGTGGAAGGCTCTCTTAGACCATGCGAAGACATGTGCTCAAGCCTCAAAGTGGGAAGTTTTTTTTTTTTTTAATTTATTTATTTATTAAATAAAAGTTAAGTGTGCAAAATATTACTATAAAACAGACATTTCAACAATATTAACACCTCAAATCTTACCAATCATCTGCCGTACACATCAAAATAATATATATATATATATATATATATATATGAAAATAAAAATAAACAAATGCATATGGGAGACTAAACCAAAACTCAAGCAAAGCAACAACAACAATAATCAACAAAATTGAAATAAGAGTAACCCATAACGATTATGAAAAAAATCTCCCCCATAAAACTAGGAAAAACATCCCACCAAACTACTACCTCCCTATACTCTAGATCATAGCCAACAAGCTTGTTAACACAGGTATTACCTTTCCTATAGATGTGAGAAGAAAAATATCACATTTGTGAACAAAGTTTTAAACAATGTTTCCATCTTCTATGTAGGAATCAAGAAACAATTTTGACATCTACTAAAGTTGTCAAAGTTAACTTTGAATCACTTTCAAACCAAAGATTATGCCATCATCTAGTGTGTGAATATTCAATTGCCATCATAATTATTAATTTTGCAAAGAGAGCATCTTTGACACAAATAAAGAAAAAACTAAGAACCCTCCAAGAAAAGTACCACTTGGATCTTGAAAACCAATAATCCCAGATAGGTTCAACATCCACGAAAAAACTCCATAGAATCATGATGTAATCAACCATGAAAGCATACAAAATCCTACATAAAAGTTAAAATACTAAATTTTGTGAACCTTAAGCCTAACCCCCATCCCATCAATCCATTCTTGTAATAATTAACACTGATCAAAATTTCATTTAAATACATTAAAATTAAATTTTTTAATCATTTTAGTTTCATTACAAGTTTTAATCTTTATAATTTAAATAATTTTTAGTCTCTATATTTATTTATTTATTATTCTTTTTTAATCTTTATAGTTTAAAATAAATCTTTTAGTTTCCATACTTGAATTTGATTAGTGATTCTTTCAGAACCATAGCTTGTCATATGAGTCTGAATTTCATATTTCCGTATGTGAAAAGAAGTATAAATATCTTCATAGATCAGACGTTCACTAATAAGTACAGCATCTTCAGAATTGTAACCCTCCCATGGCATATAAGCTACTAATACGTTTTTTTCCCAAAGCGAGTTCGCCGCCAACTGTAGCAGCACCGTTGTTTTGTTAAATCTTTTAATATATGTATGTTGTTAATTTTTTTAACGTTATCTTTTAGTATTGAGGTGACATGTATTAATTCAACTAAGTGTCTAATGTCAAATTTATTTTACTAGCATTATTTTAAGTTAAATGTCTCAATGTTTCATAGCTCTTTTGTATTTTCATCTATAACTCATTGTTGGGACATCTTTTTATTCTCACAAAATTGAATATTTCTATCTATTATATTAATACAAAATAGATAATGTTATAAAAAATGACAATAAAATTAGAAGGATTAAAATATCTTAAATATAAGAATTAAAATATGCATCTTAAACTATAATATAAAGCCTAAAAATGATTGAAAAAATAAATATGATGAGTAAAAAGTATAATGAAGTTATAAGTAATTTATCAAATGTGAGGTCGTTGCACGGGTATTGAATATTAATATTTAGTAGACAATCCGCATAGAAAGAGGTAAAAAAACACGAAATAAAACACAGTAGTGTATGACTAACTGATGGGAGGAAAAGAGAGGATGTACTATGTTGAGGGGGCTGGTGGCTGGCACGTGTAGGAGACTGAAATTGGCACGACACTCACACTCACAGAGGCGCTGGGATCGTCTTCGCACATTTTCAAACAAGCTTTATCGGTACGTTCTCTCTCCTTCGCTGGAATTTCAAATTTCCCACACAGACACCATCAAATTGAACTTGAAATATAGATAATTGATTCTCCCAAGGCTTTTTCGAATCAAATTAATTAACTAAATGGGGTTAGGCTAGGTGATGAATGATACAAATATTACTTGTTGTGGAAAGCTTAATTTATAAATTATAATGTTCCAAACTTCAATTTGCTGGCATAGTTAGATTCATTGTATTTTGGTATTCAGTGAGTTATATATAATATCAACAGTACATATGGTTAACTTTGACGCTTGTTAAGTTTTTTTCTCGAAAAGGCGTTTTGATTGATAGGTGAAGAGAGTGCTTAAATAAACTATCTGGTTTTGTCATGAAAAAGAAAAAAAAAGTGAGTCACGGAAGGAGAGCATTTATAAATCATTGTCTGTTTTGGTACTTGGTAACCATAAAGACCCCTACCAGTTTAGGGTAAAGTGTTCTATGCTTTTCTTTTTGGGCCATTACATCTGAGATATTGTTGTGTGCCAGGAGGTTTTCACACACACATATTTCCACAACAGTAAAATATTGTCTGCTTTAAGCTTAAGTTCTCATAGTTTTGCTTTTGAACATCACTCAAAAGGCCTTTTACCAATAGAGATAACTATATGTATGTAAACACATGTCCATCATTTTATTTGAACGATGTGAGACTTTACTTACATTCTAACAATCCTCCCCTCTAATAAAGGATCATAGTTTACCCTCTTGCAGCGGAAGCTAATTCGTGAGTATTATCCAGTGGTGACCCATAGAGTTCATTCACGTTCTAAGTATTTTTAGCGCTACTCCATCGTTAACTCACGATAGCAAGACATGCCTCCTAACCCTCCATGTTACCAAGAAGACTCTCTTTCACACATGGACTCACATTAGGAAGACATCCGATACAAGGGATCATATATCCTATCCACCCACCAACTTTATCATACTCGCCAAGTCGGTCACTTGGTCAAACCAATGGCTCTGATACCACTGGTTATTTGCACACATGTGTTTACTGCACCTTGAGTCATGAAACCATACATCTTTCACTTCTTTGTCGAATTGATTAGGCTCCACAATTGACATTCAAAGTATCACCTCTTTCTTCCCAAGTTCTACATAGTTAGCTTTCTCCTCCCACCTTGTACATTTGTACTGAAAATGTCCGAGTTTGGAACACTTCCGACACTCAATTGTGGCTTTGTTGAAGGTATGTCATACTCTTCCTTTACCTCTTCCTCGAGCAATTCCACGACCAATACCTCGACCTCTTCCACCAATTGATTTGTCATCAATTGTTACCTTCAGTGCTTGTTCATCCTCTGCTCGTTGAAGGTATGTCGTACTCTTCCTTTACCTCTTCCTCGAGCAATTCCACGACCAATACCTCGACCTCTTCCACCAATTGATTTGTCATCAATTGTTACCTTCAGTGCTTGTTCATCCCCTCCATGCCCTTTCATCCTCTGCTCATGCACTAACAGACTACTCTGCAATTCATCAATGGTTAAAGTGTTTACGTTATTAGACTCTTCAATGAACTCACAATATAGTTGAACTAGGGTGTCATCGATCTTAGGATTTTTTCAACAATCAGTAATTGCCCCATGTTTTCCCCATGAATTTTCATTTTATTTGCTATGGCAAGTGTACAGGCAAAGTATTCATTAACACTTTCAGCCTCTTTCATGTGGAGGACTTTATACTCCGTTCGAAGGGCTTGCTTGGAGTTGTGCTCTTTTGACCCTTGTTGAACCTTGATACTTCTATTTCATAGAGTCCCATATATTTTTGGCAGTATCTTTATTAAGGATGGTCTCCAAAATGGTCCGATCAATAACCTGGATCAAATAATTCTTAACTTTCAAGTCTTTTAGTTGTTGCTCAGCAATTGACTTTGTTTTGGCTTCAGTAAGTTCCTCTCCTTCTACAATAGCAGGGATTCCCATCTCCATTAGGTTCCAATATTTCTTTTAATGAAGGAAATTTTCCATGAGCATGACCCAATGATCATAATGACCATCAAACTTGGGAATTGTAGGTTGAACGAAAGTGGTTTCAGAGGTCATGCTTCAAACACTCTTCTCTCAAGAAAACTGTGGTTTTCTTTTCTCTGCAAGCCAACCCTTTTCTGTCAAGAAAATTGTGGTTTCTTTTCTTTGCAAATAGGCCCCATGAAGGAGCTCTGATGCCACTTGTTGTGCATCGGGAGGTTTCCTCACACACACATGTCTCCACAATAGTAAGATATTGTTTGTTCTAGGTCTAAACCCTCATGGTTTTGGGTTTAAACCCTCATGGTTTTGCTTTTGAACATCATCTAAAAGGTCTCTTACCAATGGAGACAACTGTGTGTATATAAATCCATGTCCATCCTTTTGTTTGAACAATGTGAAACTTTACTTACATCTCAACAAATATTATCTGTCGTCACGGTTTTATTAGGTGTTTATAAATTACCTATATTCTTAATTACTATGCAATATGGGACTTTTTGACATACCTAAACAATAGGCACTTCTGAAAATAATCAAAACAAGTTATTTCCACATGCAGAATGGCTATACAAACGAAAAAAAAATACATGAAAATAAAAAGAAAAACATTTTTATGATTTTGCAATTTTTTCAGCTCAAATAAAATTACTGGTAACTTCAACTTTTTTTTAAAAAAAAAAAAAAATAGTTGCCTTGATGCCACTTGCTGCTCTGTTGAAAAATGAAAATGACTGCTGCACTGAATTTTTTCTTATTTCAATGCTGCTTGAGGTTGTAGGGCAGGTTTCATGGAGAGTAATGGGAACATGGTGAAGGATGTTGAGAAACAAATGACTCGTGTTTTGTTTTGTGGACCCCATTTTCCTTCTTCTCATGAATATACAGCACAGTATTTGCAAAATCATTCACATATCAAGGTAAAATAGAATCAATACTACATGCTGATCATGTCCAACTTGCAAATTAAATTCCCTTGGTGTGTTTCGGGGTTGATAGTCTCCTTGTACTTTGACTTTGGCTTTCTTGAATAAATTAGTGTGTTCTTAGCCTTCTATTTTTCACTAGAACTTGTGATTGTAGTTTTACACTATCTAATTTATATAATTGTAACTCTTCTCTGTGCAGTTACTTGTGGTTTAAGATAACTGCTAATTCAATTTCTAGGCAGTACTGGCATCACAGTTATACAATCTCTGTATTACAATGAGCAAAATGTTCCCATTAATTTTAGTTAGATCAATAAGCTGGTATTGCATTTGTAGGTTGATGTTCTCCCTTTTGAAGATGTGCCAAAGGATATTGCCAACTATCATGTCTGCATTGTAAAAAGCATGAAGCTAGATTCAGACATAATTTCCCGTGCAAGTCAGATGCAGCTTATAATGCAGTATGGGGTTGGGTTGGAAGGTATTGTGAATATTGTCAGTTTAGCTTTAGTGTGAAATTTCATAAAGCTTCATTTTTTCCATATTTATTATAGAAGTAATTTTGCATTTTATTTTTTTGTTTTCTATTGTTAGACCTCATCATAATTTTAAATTGATAAATTATGATTTTCTCTCCAAGGTGTTGATATTGATGCTGCAACAAAGTATGGAATCAAAGTTGCTAGGATCCCAAGTGATGCTACGGGAAATTCAGCTTCATGTGCTGAAATGGCCATATATCTAATGCTAGGTCTCCTCCGTAAGCAAGTATGATATCTTCAATTTGAAATAAAAATGTCCCTTCTTACTAAATGAAGTGGCACAAGGTTTCTATAAATTACCCACTTTGCAAGTGTGGTGGGGGAAAGGGGACTACATATTCTAGGGTTTCTTAATATAAGTAATAAAAAAAAAATCTTAATAATAGATGATGTCTCTCCCTGGAGTTTGGGTTCTAACTTAATCTCGCAAACTTCAAAGACATAGATTAATAGTGAGTCTCTAGCAATCATTGATCATTCTCTTCCAAATTCTCTCCTTTTATTTTCTTTTAGTCGTCTTTGTTTATTTCATTTCTGCTGTTTCCCTCTCATATCCATGTATGAGCTAGTATGATGGTCATGTAGAAATCTGCAAGGCATTTAAAGGGCCAACTTAGTGATTAACGTGTCATGTTTGCTTCCATTAGCAAGGCATCGAACAATGTATAATCAAAGGAGAATATAGTGATATTTTTATCTTTAAGAGACTTATTTTGTGACAAAATCCTTATAGGACTAATACAGTGACATTATGATTGCTCAAGGACCAAATTGAGGGTTTGCTACATTATGATTCCTTCATTGGACAATGGTCATAGTGAAATTTCTGCTTTGCCTATGGGTGAAGCCTATAATAGTATAATTTAATGTAGGTTGTTGATTCGTTGAACCATATCAAACTGCCTGTTTCTCTTCTCTCTTCCGCATTTGTGCACCCAGTTACAATAAATATACTGTGCTTTGGATTTTTGTGCATTTGTTTCAACTTGCTTAGTTTATGTGCAGTGTGAATTTTTATATATTAATATTAGCATTGAATGCTGTTCAATTTTTGAATAAAAAAGAATGTTCGTGCAGAATGAACTGCAAATTTCCATACAACAGAAGAAGCTTGGAGAGCCAACTACTGAAACTTTATTTGGGAAAACTGTGAGTATATCTATTCTTCTTGGGAAACAAATAATACTCTGTAATCCTTTCCACTTTTTATTCTTGTTCCCTATGTCATGGATCATTGTTTTTCATAATGGTTAGATGCATGAGGGGAAACTCTCACAAAAAAGCAGTATAAGGGTAAAAGTTAAAAAATAAATAAAAATGAAAAGAGTATATTTTCTCCTTTTACATGTGTTTTCCTGCCAAAGTGCAATTTTTACACATAGATGCATTTGCAATCATTGAATATGCTGTTTGTGGAAAACTAATTTTTAATGATAATGTAGATATTCATTTTGGGCTTCGGGAACATTGGAGTGGATTTAGCAAAGCGATTGCAACCATTTGGTGTAAAAGTTATTGCTACAAAGCGGAGCTGGGCTTCATATGCACAGCACGCTAGCAAATTAAGCAGAGGTATTTTCCTTCCCAATTTTTGTGGATTATTACTTGTAAATATGTATAGTTTGTTCTTCTATTTCTTAACGCATTCTGTATTATTTGTTGAAGATGATGTTGATGATCTTGTTGATGTGAAGGGTAGTCACGAAGATATGTATGACTTTGCAAGGAAGTCTGACATTGTTGTTTGCTGCCTAAGACAAAATAGTGAAACGGTTGGACCTTTCACCATCCTTCATTCATTTGTTTTCAATGAATTTCAATTACTTCTGATACTTTTATCTACTTTGGTTCCCTATTTGTTTTTTACTATAAGTTTATGAGACCTGTGAAAACTTGTGGTTTTAAAATTATGGTAGATGGCTGATAAAGATGTTGACAAATGGATAAAAAAAACAAGCATTTTATTACTTTTTCCTAAGTAGAAACTGATGTACTGATGCAGAATCTAAGTTGATTAATAGGATGAATCTGTTTGTGCTTAAAAGCTTCAATGACATGTTCTATTCTACCTTTTTTATTATATGCTTTTAAATGCATTGTATGAACTAAGCATAATATGAATGACCTTTTGTGTTGATGTACTTGTTGACTTGGATATGATGTTTTTCAGGCTGGTATTATAAACAACAAATTCATATCCTCTATGAAAAAGGTTTGTTTACCATCTCAGATGAACTTCTCTGCTTTACTCATTTCTCTTTTTGTTGCCGATAGGCTCATAATGCATGTACAAGATATTGGAAAATGTGTAAATGCCGCATATTTTTGGTATTGGGTCAGAATCATTGATACCCCAGTAAGAAATATTTTCAGATTGACACTATTGAATAACTTATTATAGTGTTGAGATCTCACATTGACTAGAGATATAATCAATGTAGTCCTTATAAAACTTGGGTAGTTCTCACTGTACAAGCTAGTTTTGTAAGATTGAGTTAAGTTTTAAACCCATGTTAAGATGGTATTGAAGGCTATTCTAGATCTCTGTATTTGTCCATATTATAATATCTATTTGTAGGTGTGAAGGGGTGTTGTTCTTGGGCCACCTATATTTGTCCATGCTGTAGATATGATTAATGTAGTCCTTATAAAGCTTGAACAATTATCACTTTATAAGATAGTTTATCAGATTGAGTTAGGTCATAAGCATTAAATTCTAAGAGATAGAATGAACTTTTCATGTAAGCCACTGTTAAGTACTTATCATGGAGATCATGCTCTGTTAGGTTCTAGCAGAATGCAAACAGATCCCGGAAGGTATATTCTTGTAGGCATAAAGTAAACTGAAAATGTAATTCATTGATTGAAATTCTTGATACAACAAACTGAGTCTCTATTTACAATCCTATATATATTCTAGAGACTTAAGGAGGAGAGGTTATAACTGTCTAACAAAGACGGTTAAAACTAACTAACTTATTAACCAAACACAGACTAACTAACTATGGTTACAAAATAATATTCAGCAAAGGAGTTTAACACTCACAGTTAAGGACTAAAGTGACCAATACTTACAATTTCAATTTTCAAGGACTAAAATGAGAGTTTACTTGATAATGTTTTGCGGAAATTATTATTCTAGTAATCAGTCACTTTGGTCCCCAAAAGTGGTGACCATTGTGACATTGGTGCCCAAAACTAAGAAAATGTTAAAAAAGTCCCTAGAGTATAAAATTAGATCCGAAATTTAACTACTTATTATTATTTTGGCTCTTAAATATATATCAATAATAACAATTTAGTCACACTTTTTTTTTTGAACTTTGGACTATTATGAATGTTAATTTGCACTTTTGAAGACTTATTTGACACTTTCTTAGTTTCAAGGACTAATATGACATCATCCAAATTCAGAGACTAAGATGATCATCTAGTCTTATTATTCTCTTTCTCGAAGTTGCTAACTTGCTCATAAAATTTTGGTCAACTACAAAATATTTTATACTTTTTTTGAATTTGAAAACAATAGTATGCAATATAATAGTAGGTCTTACACAAATGACAATGGATCCTAATAATATATTTACTCACATAATAAAGATTTTTTAATAATATAAGATTATTGCTAGTATCTGTTATGTTAAATTGTCGATGATTCATGAGTTAGTACTATGAGTATGAGAACTAAATCCCCTGAAAATGGAACTCATCAAAGCATATGCTTTAGTTGAAGCATTATATGTGGATCTAGAAAGCTCACGAGCAACTTGAAGGAGATGAGAATAGACTTCTTTAGTGTCGGTGTCAATTTATTAAAGCCTGTCAAAATTTGAGACTGGGCAGCAGAGAAATTAACATATTAATCCAACAAGAAGCACATAAGAATCAATTGTTCTTGTTGGGTTCTGTTATAATGTAAAGAGGATAGTTTGGGATTGTCTGATGTGGACTGTAACTGAAGAATCTTTTGATTGAGAGAAGGGCAATCAAAGCTAACTTGAAAGGATGCACAATTGGAAGATTTGGTTGACAAAGTGAATAATTATTTCATATAAGCTTTAATGATGGAAGAGATTATTGCAGATTCAATCAGTTTTGGGAGGTACCTATGATTTATGACAAGTGTTTTATGCTGTTATCATTTTTTTTTTTGTCTGACACGTGAAGTCATTGTGAATCTATTATTGTGCTTTCCTTCCTGCTAATACCACATCATTTGTACTGTAAAGATAGAAAAACAAGACAAATATAACATTGATGTAAATATCTCATGGTTTAATTTGCTTATTAGTTGAAAGTTGTAACTTATGATGAATTTTTGTGTGATTATATAATTATATATTTCAGGGTGCACTTCTGGTGAATATTGCTAGAGGTGGTCTTGTAGACTATGAGGCTGTGATCAACCACCTTGAATCAGGTCATTTAGGAGGGTTAGGCACTGATGTTGCTTGGACTGAGCCATTTGACCCTGATGATCAGATATTTAAATTTAAGAATGTTATCATGACTCCTCATGTTGCAGGTGTTACAGAACATTCTTACAGATCCATGGCTAAGGTTTGTGTGGCTATTTCACATTCATCCTTCCACTGGAAGTATTAGGATCCATAAAAGTTATTTTCATAATGCTTAAATTGCGATTGTACTTTACTTTTCCTAATTATATTCTACAATTGAATTCTTGAGTAAACAAAAGGAGAGAGAGAGAGAGGACAAAGGAACTTATATTATACTGTGAAATGTGATATTTATCTTGCCTGTTATACTGCAGACTGTTGCTGATGTTGTTCTTCAACTTCATGCCGGACATCCTTTGACAGGGATAGAGTTAGTTAATTGAATCAGTGCCCATCAATTCATTCCAATATCTTCCACTTCCTGACTTTAATAATTTAAGATGAATTTTCTGAGGTGCCAAAACACTGAACATCTTGTTAAGAAAATTGAGACAAGGCAATGATTATGTGTTGCCCATTTGTTTCTCTATTGTTGTAGTGAACCAATTGTTCTTTGGTAGCGGGTTGTGGAAACTAAATAAAGTGTATAATATTACAGTATACCATTTTATGAATTTTCTAATTTTATTTTTCCACTATTTTCTGTAATCATAAAACTAACATCACGGCATGATGTTTGTCTCATTACTTGTTTATGTGATTAGGCATGGCGTCTAACTGAAGATACATTGTGTTTGACCATATGATATATACGGACCTAGAGCTATAACCTCAAATGATACGATATACGTCTATATAAGAAATGATCTGGCGTATACTTCACTTGGTTAAGTATGCAGGAATGGTCTTATGTATATCCTGACAAGCATTCTTCTGAAATGGTTGTCTTCCTTATATAACCCACAACGATTCATCATGTGTAATTGTTTGATTTTAGATCCTACTGTGATTTGGAATGCATATGCAGTGTTTATTATCAAGAAAGGAAAGCCACTAGTCAAATACCGTGGGTATTATTATCAAGAAATGTTGTGATTTTGTCAGTTGTTATACGTTTCTAACTTGGAAGGATATACAGTGTTTTAGTATAATTGGAGTACTTGAAAGTCTCTTTCGAAAATAAAGAGTTTTTGTTTTAATTGAGAGATTCTCAAAAGTCTTTTTAAACTTGTATTTAAACATGTATATAAAGCTAACAAATCAGCCGAATAACCCTAACAGAATATTTAATTCTATCAGAATCCTATCAAATTCTTTCCAGAAACATGCTGAGTCATTGGCTTCGCAATAACGCTCTTGGGCCTGACATTGTCAATCACTTACTGGACTTATCCGTCAGGGCTGTGTTGTCTACTTGTGGGCCCCCCGTGTTCTTCCTTGTTGGGCTTCGTCATAACTAATATAAATGAAAACGATCAGTTGTTATATTTACCTACGTTAAAATTTTAAATCACAACTCTACTGTTATATACATCCTTTCGAAAGATTTGTTTTTACTCTGTACAAAGTAATAAATCTTTTTAGCATTTTTTATCCTCTTTTTTTTTTTTTTTCATGATTCAGTATTCCGTTTAAATATATTACGTGACTTTTCAAGTGAATGTGTTACCCAAAAAAAGTGAATGTTAAAAATTCAAGTATATGGATCTAACTATACGTTTTACATTTTTAAAAATAATCTTAAATTATTTAAGACGCATTATACAGGCAAAATATTAGACTAATAATATTGACATACTAAACAATAATTTTGAAAAGGTCAAATAAAAATAACACATAACATTAAAGATATTTATACCAAGGGATTCTAGTTCAGTTGATTCAGCAATGTGCATAGATCTTTGTCTATCTTCTGCTATGAAGTTCGATTCCTACATATAAAAAAAATAATAATAAAAGATATTCATAACATCAACAGACTGCAAATTGAGAGTCTGTTTGTTTGAGCTGAATTTGCAAAAGCAATATTTTAATATAAAAAATCACTTATTAAAAATTTTGAACATTTTTTTTTATCTTTTTTTAAAATACGAATCTGAAGAATAATATTTTTCTTTGTTTTTTGATAAGCTGGTACATGCAGCTTCTGAAAAATAGCACTTTCAACCATCAATGATATGAAGAATTTAAAATCCATGTTACTTGTGATCTTCAATTGTCCCATGACTAATAACAATATGTACCATTTTTGGTAATCAATCACATTACATAACATGCTTACATAGTTTACAAATAGGATACATAAATCTCAGCTTTATAAACAGTGACAAGTCTTTGTTAACTATGTACAACTTGTGTCACGCCAGAACATATGAATGAATGACTGATCACTGTGACAAAGCAGAATTTGCGACTATGACCTCATTGCTATTTTGTCAAACATCCCTTACCTTCGCCTTTACATCGGAGTGTGGATGGAGCGGCTTCCTTGGACTTGAAGGAACACCTGAGAATTTATGAACCAGAATTTTGAAGCATGGTAAAAGTACTATATATAGAGCTCCCAAAATAAACGGTGATGCAACCAGCCACCCTAATATCTGCAAAAGATTGATAAGCAAGAAATTTCAAAAGTGAGCATTACAAATTTTGTAAGGACTTCAAGCAGGAAGGGTCAGCCCAGCCATAAGGCTAATAAAGCCCTTGCTTTGGGCCTCCACTAAAAAAGAAATATTTAACATCAATATTTGCAAAAATTTTGTAAGTCGTCTCTCTTAAATACATTGATTCTCACCAAAATTCCTATTATCTAAATATAGTATTTTTTCCAAAAGCAGTCTAAAAGTTATTTTCACTTTAAGATGTGTTTTAGGTGTAAAAATATATTGGGCCGGCCATGCAAGCATGGACTCTGCTTAAAACAAAAAGATTCACCACTATACAGCAAGGCATTTGTGAGGCTAAAAACATAATTCAAGAATATAAGAAATTTCCAGATCCTATATAAGGAAGCCACCGTTCCCACCTAAAGGGAACATTTAAAAGGATTTTGCATTACTGGGTAGGTACCAATAAAAGCACTCCAACACACAGCATCGAAAGATTCACTGTAGTGTATCACAAAGAAGACTTAAGTTGTTAAAATCAATTACATTGTGCATAACTTTTATCTATAATACTTCATGCAAATAAATTCAGATGAAAACACTAATATAACTAATAACTGTCTCCCCCAAGAAAGTAACAAATGTACCAATACCAAGGTGCTCGGCAATTGGCTTGTCTGGTATGTTAAAAGTAAAAAGCACTGATGTTGCAACTTGCAATAAATTAAATGCTAAAAAAAAAGGCAAAAAAATATAGCTACTTTACAAAAATATCAGCGACCAACATTAGATGAGGACAAACTTTGTCTTTCTTGTTAGAGAAAAACAGGAGATACGACAAAAAGATGCATGTGTATAGGACAAGTCTGGCAGAGTCACAGTTGAGGCAATTCTTAAAACCTTGAATTAAAAGAATTGAAAAGAAAAAAAAAATCACTGCAACAAGATTGACTACTATTTAATAAAGAACCTGTAAAATAGGTCAACGCTCCATTTCAAACTTAAAACTAAGGTAAAATGGCACGTATGTGAAAAAGAAAAAAATGCATATATTGATTTTGTGTTTCATGTATGTATCTCTATATTTCAGACAAATGCCAAGAAAATATTATGGGATGGTAGCACCTACCGCACGGGCAACACTTAATATGACTTCTTGGGAAGCTTGGCCAGTAAGAACCTTCTTTAAAGCATCAGATGTTAAAGGGAAATGAGATCCACCAGTGATCAACTCACCAAAGCGTAGAAAGGGCACAACCAGACTGAAATGCCAAAGCAAGTATCAATGTACAAAAAAAAAGTACAAAAATGATATGATATGATATAGTATGGTATGCTATGATAATGATATGAGGAAAACAATATTGATCTAGGAATAATAGAGAAGCTAAATGTCTAATAACATAATGGGGGGCATGAAAAGAAGAATGGGTATAATTAAGAACATGTGTATGTTTGCATTGTTTTTAAGGGCCCCCAACGCATTTATTTCTTTAAAGAACAACTTTAATACAAGAAGAATTTCCTACTAGAAACCCTCAGCCCTCGCTCTGAAGTCTGAATGGATAAACATGTTCCATGTTAAGATGATCTACACCATATATCCAACCCATGTTAACTCTTAAGATGAAACAACAACTAAACCATATTCCACTAATTGGCTACATGGATAAATCAATGCCATTAGACTCTACCATTATACTTCAATAAAACTAAAGTATATTTTTTAATAGGTTTATCATTAAGTTTTCTTAGGTTTTCTTAATTGGAGAATCTTTCATTTGATCAACTTATCACAAGAACCTCTATTGGTCTCTCCTAGGATATAATTAGATTTGAAAATAAATGTTTTCCATGAGAAATTAAAGTAAGGAAAAAGACCCCCTCCTAACAAAATTTAAAGTCATAAAAAGATGTTTATAGCATATTTGCATAAAATATAATGATTGTAACATGATCCACAAAATAAAAAATTAAAAAATTAAAAAAAAAACAATGATTCACAATAGAGACGGAAAGCAGATGCGAAGACAGCATGGAAAGCATATTACCTCAACTCAATTGGAGTAGCAATGAAGTTTGCCAGCATCACAGTTGGAGCATGGCAAAATGATCCAAGCAATGCAATGGCCATCCCGCAGAGGAATACAGTGACACCTATTTGAAAAACATTATCATGTCTAACAAATTATACCACATTTCACATCATTATACTCACTCAGATATCTAATTAACAGCATATCTTTCTTATTTTGATTGTTTTGTGATGTATTTGGTAGGTTGAATCAGCTTATACTTAATTTAAATATGTAGTTGCTTCTCAATCTTGAAATCAGAAAAAGCTTTGGGATTATGTTAGTCAAACGTGCATTTTCCATGAGCCATCTCTGGAGTTAATGCAAAGACAGTTTTAGAAACCAGAGAGAAGGAAAATCTAAATTGATTGTGCTAGATGGTTACCAATATTAACTGAAATGCAAGAATTCTTTTTTATTAGCAAAAACCATTCATCATTATTACTTAGATAGGCACAAATGGCACCTACATAAGCAGCTGAGAAGATCACAAAGAAAATGTTGTCATCTCATGACAGCATATATGCCTCCCTATCAAAATTACAACATCTCACGGGATAAACAGTCAAAAGCTCTACTTATGGATTACAAAATATAAACAAATTGTGTCCTAGTATACTCCCGCCCATCCTCACCACTCACCAGTTATCTTTTTTTACAATATTATTAGAACCTGAAAGCGTGGGATACTAATGCAAGACTAATTAATTTAAAATTGATTGTTCAAACCTCATGGCTAACAGAGGAATGATGTGAGAGGCAACTGAAAATCCTATCACAGACATTAACCTGGACGCACAGCTTGTAATGCAAGACTAATTAATTTCTCTTCACTTGCTTCTATGACTAATATATTGAATGTCACCATCTCTCTAAGATGCCTACTGTTGTTAGTTAGTCTAATAACTAGTGTTAAGAGAAACTTGTGACGGGGGTTGTAATTTTTTTCCTTCTTGCCATTGCTTCATAACAGACTTAACAGAATTTTTAGTTAAGTTGGTTATAAGTAGGAAAAGAAAAAATTCTATATCTTGTTGTTACTGAAAAACCAGATTATGTTTTCTTGGGTGTTTTTTGATTCTATCTCTCACTCTCTCGATCACTTAAACTTTCATCTTGGCACAACACCTACTGAGTTAGAAAATAACTAACCTAATCACATATCCAAAGCCATTTTTCTTGTCTGCAATTGGCATGCAAATATATAATTGATGCTCTACATACTACATAGTAACATTCTACATTTATCCCCCATCCCTCCCACCCACCCAATTGATAATTCAGAAGCTGTTCACAGTTTCTTCAACTCTTCATTTCACTCAAATACATGTATGGGGGAGAAGAGTCTCCACTCTCCACTATTGTAACACATGCATCACATTTTAAATCAGCAAATCAGGAAAATCAATTTAAATTTGTAAAGTTGCTGAGCATGAATACTGGACAACAAACAGTATCCTATTCAATCTATATGTGTGTGCAAGCAATAAGATCTCAGATACAGGAATAAAACTTTCACAACTCTCAACGTGATGTTGCATGTTCAGTGGCAAGTAAAATAAATAAATCCTCTGCTTCATTGTAGTAAAAGCTTCTTCAAAAATAAATGACAATATAATTCCAGATGTGTTAATCACAACATACCACATATAGGAAATACTCCCAGTGTAATACCAAGAGCACCAGAGAAAGCCAACTGGCTTGGTTCAGCTCCTCTGAAAAAAATCGTCATAACAAAAAATAGATAGTTAAGGACTTCCAAAGGCAAAACTTGACAATATCAGTTCCATAAAAGCATCTGATATTTTCATTATCCAGCATAAAACACACACTCACATACCTTCCTAAAAGATGAAGAAAAAAAAAAGTAAATTACAGAAACAACAAATCATATCATAAATTATACAGAATCAACCATTGCAATGGAAAGCCATTATTTAAAAAATAAAATAAAATAAAATTGAAGATGGATCAAATCACACGCAGCAATGATTCAAAAAAATGAATAGTAGATGAAAGAGAGAGTTGAAAAAGCGAAAAGTTAGAAAAGTACCTGCGGATAATGGCGAGAAGGGGATCAGTGATCTTCTTTTGGACCCAATTGGTTATCCTCACTTTGCCGTTGGCCATCTTCGTCCAAAGTTTCAAAATTTTTCTTCGAACTTCAAAGGGTATGATGTTCCCAAACCAGAGAATCAGTGTTTCTCTCACCACAAGAAACCCCAGCTCCAATCCAAGGAAAAAAGAAAAAGAAATATAATTGTAAAACTAATTTATATTTGAGAAACAAAATAGATAAATTTCAACATTTGAATTGATTAATTAATTGCTTATGGGAAACTTTGTTGGATTGAGAATTGCATGTCATAGTTTGGAGAATTGGAATTGCAAAAAAAACAGTGGTCAGATCTGTATTCTATTTGGGGGGAAAGAGGTTAATACGTTGGCATCTCCACGTGCTACCAACTTGGATGCATGGATTGGAATGGATTCCACACCTAATTTATAGGATAAGATGTAAGAAATTTTGTATTGGCTAAAAACATTTTATTAAACTTTTCACATCTAAATATTCTCATAATATTTCTATTAATTTTTATCTTTAATATATAATGCGGGATAAACTTTTTATATCGTAAATTACCTAAAAAAAATAAGTTTTGTGTAATTTTTAAAACTAATTTTTTTCAAAATTAACAAACTTATCTCATATATTGATTCATTATTAATCGATGATAATAATAATAATAAAAATAAAAAGGTTTACATTATTGATGGATATTTTTATTTTTATTTTTTTATATATATATTAAGCATTAAATGTATTTTAGATTTGTAAAATATTAAATACATGGTTAGAATATGACTTTCATCCTTCAAATTTTTTATATTTTAATTTGGTCTCCTAAATTATATATATATATATATATATATATATATATATAAACTTTGATCTTCTAAAGTTTTAATTTGATATCTTAAATAATTCATTTAGTAATTTACCACATTAACATCCTTAATTTTAGTTGACGTAGTAATTATTTCATAATTCATGTGGGATGTTACAAGATTTGTCGCATATCATCTAATTGACTAAATTAGTGTAGTAAAGAAAATGAAAAAAGTAACTTGATCTAGCAAGCCTTTTAAAACTTGGAAATTAAAGTAAAACTTAATGAAATAAGATGATGGGCCAAAATGGTATTTTTAATATTTATAATATATGTTTTATACTTCTAGTTTTTATAATATTATTTTTGTTTAAATTACACTTTTAATTTTTAATTTTTTTAATTAATTTAATCTTTATCTTTTAAAATATTTAAATCTAATTATTTATAGGTCTAGATCCTTTCATGTGAGCATAAGACCCTTTTTCTTCTTCTTAAAGAATTTTTTCTTTTTCTAGGTCTTCTCCTTTTCTAGCTTAAGAAATTAAGACTTGAAATGGTCTAGCTTCTTGGGCAGCATCATATCACAAGTGCTTTCTCTTTTTACTCCTTAGAGGATTTTTTGTTGAAGTTTCTCCATTACAACCATTTTTTCTTTCTTAGCATGGGGTAGATCTTTCTATAAATAAATGATATTTCATCCTCAAAGTCTTTTTCTTCTTCTTCATACTACTCTTTTAAGGATTGCTTAGTCTTTATGGTTTTGGACAATGAGTCTTTTCTTGGCTTTTGCATGCTAGGAGCAAAAGATCTACTTTTCTTCCCAGCTTCATTGTTGAAACTCAAGCTGATGAACCTTAAGAAAACCTATGAACTCTTTAAGTTATATATTGTTTGTCTTTGGATGCTCTCAAAGTTGTTACTTATAGTCTCCACTTCCTGGGTAAACTACAGTAATTTATCAATCTAGTTAAAGTTATCATAAGTTCTTCCAAGAAAAATTAATTCATTAATAGTTTGAAAATGTTCAAACATGGTTTGAATGTTTTTATTCTCTTCCATGGTGAACAACTTATACTTATGTACCAAAAATCTTAGCTTGTTGTGTATTACCTGGATGGACCCTTCACATGTGAGAGCTAGCGTGTCCTACATTTGTTTTACACTCTTGATGTTGTGTCTTCAACATTAATGTGACAACCATGTTTCAACAACAACCAAGTGTTTTAAGGAATCACCTATCTATTATTAATAGTAACATTTCTATTTATAGATACTGGTTCGTCAAAATTTCTTCTATACTTAGAATATGAGTTATTATCTTGACATGTATCATCCAATAATTATTTTGAGTATCTTTTTTTCTTCACTAACCATTCTTTATACATGGGGATTCGGGATGAGGTGTTGTACAACATTCATGGATCATGTGTTTCAATATGACATCGTGCAATTGTGATTCCTCTTCATTTTTTTAGGTATTTCCACCATGACAATACGACATAGTGCCTTTAGTAAAAAAAATGGTAGAAATGCAATCACATTTAGAGTATACTGTCCAAAAAAAAAAAAATACAAACACAAAAAATAGTATCAATATAAGTGTTAAAAAATTAACTATATGAAAAGTTCATATCTTATATTTAAAGTTATGAACCACTAGAATTGACCTAGTAATAGGAGATTAAAATAATATGCATAAGATCTTAAATTCAAATCCTAACTTTGTCATTATATTTTTAATAGATAAAATAAATATTTAAACTTATTTAACAAATAACACACCTTTTTATTTTGAATATGTTTTATTTATTTCAGATCAAGTTTCGGTATAATTTTTATATATCACTCTTATTTTCAAATTAAATACATATTAAGTATACTCTACAAGAATTTAGTTCACTTTAACTTTTTAAATTTATAAAATATATTAAATTTATGAAAATATTACATTAATTTTTTATTTTTTTAAAAGCTTACTTAAAAGCTATTTTAAATCTATATTGATTTTTGATTAAAATACTTTTTTAATTCCTATAATTTAAAATAAACCTTTTTAATCTTTATACTTATTTTGTTCAATCCTATAATTTAAGATAAATTTTTTAATATCTATTGTTGAGACATCTTTTTTTACCCTCACAAAATTGAAATTTCTATCATGTCAACTTAACACAAATAACATTATAAAAATAAATTAACAATAAAAATTAAAAATATTACAAAATTGTAATTATAAAAATTAAAAAGACTTATCTTAAATTATTAGAACTAAAAAGATTGAGAATATAAGTATAAAAAATAAAAAAACTATTTTAAATTATAAAAACTAAAATATAAATAAAAGGATAAAAAAAATTATCATTAATTTTCCTACATTCAATAAATTATATCTAATCATAACTTTATTAATAAAGAAAGGAAGTATAGCATCTGCGACAGGGGTTGCTTCTCATCACTGCCCTGGGACGTTAATTTTAGTTTGTGTTAAGAAAAAATCTAAAATGTGAAAAGTGAGAAAGGTGAAGTGAATATGGTGGACTCAGAAGCGTAGCTTCCACTTTAATTCGATGACGATGGCCAATATATGCCGCTCGCAGCATTCGCCTTCGTATCATTCTTCAACACTCTCTTTCCATTTTTACTCCTTTCTTTTTCCTGCAATTGCTTTCTTTGGAACATTTAATGTAAACAAAATTCGTCAAACTCATTTTACTTTCTTCTTTTATCTTACTCAACTTCTATAAATAAACAAAATTCTTCTTTTTTCTTTCAATTCTACAGGGATTCTAACTAAGTCCTTAAGAGGATCTTGGATTTAGTTTATATGCTCCAAACTTGGTGGATATGATTTATATGATCCAACTTGAGGAGGGAGTGAAATAGTTGTTTATTATCTGTTGTACAGCTTTATAAAGCTGCTCTTTGTCTATATCTAGCTTAAGGGTTAAGAGCCATAGGCTTAGATACACTCTTTTGCTATATTTTAAATCTCAGTATTTATAACTTATTTGGACTTGTCATATAACATGGGTACTTGATTAAGTGTGTGAGAGAATATATGAAAATAGGTTATGATGTATCTGTAATTTTTTTTTTGTCTTATATTAATATGCTTTTCAAGATTACTTGTGATTTGTGAAAAAAACTTACAAATTACATGAAAATGGTTTAATTTTTATTTTCTCTTTAGTAATAAAAATATCTAATACATAATTGTTTTTCTATTTACTCAAACAGGCGTTTGGTTTTCAGACTGACATTTTTTATTAATTAGGTAAAAGGAAAATTCAGTGTAGAAATATTCAAGTTTCAACTCTTAAAAGCTTCACGAATCTCATAGCTATTAGTGCAGCAGTTTTCACATATTGAAGTTGAGAACCACTTCAAACAGGTTCATTTTCTTCTTCTTTTGATACATAGGATTCTGAATAATCTTATATACTTTTCTGAAGACATAATCTAGTAAAGCAATAATGTGTGTGCGTGTATGTGTGAGATCTGAGATTATTAAATACTATACTGAATTTGATACTTTTAGTGTTTCTTGCAATTATGTTTTAATTTGATGGAATGAGAAATGGTATCAATGTGTATAATGATGGTGATGTGAATATAGTTTACTGGTTTTAGCAGCTTGAATTGCTGCATACTGAGTGAAATTTTGACCAAAACGTTCTGGTTAGCTTAAGATGGAGTATTGCATCCTAGTGTTGACATTTTGGTCACTACAGCAATATGCTGACCTGAAAGTGTAATGTTTATTTTCCTATACAACTGCAGCAATATGCTGATCCGAAAGTGCAATGTTTATTTTCCTATACAAATAAAAGTCCATAGAATAGAATTAAAGTATAAATCTGAGTTGTGAAGCGTAAGTTCTGATTTTGTTCTAAATTTACAAGTAGACAGAAGTTAAGATAATAATATAGCGATAAGTGGAAAAAAAATCTGGATTTATGAAAAAACAAAATCTTTCTATATGTTTGGTTGTTCTTTTATTTTTTTCTATGTTGTTACTGGACTAAAACATATTACGAGAATATGGTTATTCAATATGGTTTTGATTGGGATTAAATTTGCAGCAGCAGCAGCAATTTTGCAATTTTAGATGGATATGGCAGTGTCTTCGGTTAGGGTCTTCTGATCTACCTTGTGCAGTACTAGTGAATAAGTTCTTTTTATTTTGGTTTGGCTTGGTAGACAACAAAACTGAAATTTATGAAGTGGAAGACACTAAAATTTTAATTAAAACTGTAAAATGAGAACTAGCTCTTTGTGTTTTTATATTGGTTGTGCATTGTGTTGCTTGGGTAGTTCCTAATAATGAATCTATAGAACAGTTTAGGGTTGAATTTTGGATTGATCTTGCTATTATAAATAAAAATATCGTGCACAAACCAAATCTCTAACTAAACAGAACAATCTTAATCTTCACTCCTTACTGCCTAATAGACTATCTACAAATTCTGTTAAAATTACTTCTCTAAAGCTCAGTCTAAATTTAAAGTAACTCTTGACTGGTCTTTGACTGGCACCTGTGAGCACTGATACGCAATTTTTGCCTCCATATCAGTGTTGGGTACATATCAAACCCAACACTGATACGGTTGGATACAGGAGGGATACATATCCCAAATGTATCCGGTAGATTTAATTAAAAAAAAGAAAAACAGGAGGATACGTTTCGGATACTTGCAGATATGTAATTTCCGGAAATAAGAAAAATCAGGGATATATTTCAGATTTGTTCGAACAAATCAGAATAACAAAAATCAGATAAATCATAGATGCAAAACGAGAATAACAAAGATACTGATTAGAGTCTATATCTATAGCAGAACTCTAGCAGGCCAGAATTTGGGTGCCTAACTCCCCTTCATTAATGCATGTTTGTTTCTGTTCTGAGATCTGGATATCAGTTTGAATAGGTTTTCCTTGTGACCTAATGTTTGGTTTCATTTATTAATTTAACTCAACGACGCATTTCGATTGGAGCATGTTCTGTTGTAGATTGTACATTTGGTATTGATGATTTGATCGGTTTTTCATTACTACAGTAAGGTTTCTTCATATTATTGTCTTCATTAATCAGTCTTATAATAATCAATAATAACAGTAAACCCTTTTATTTTAGTATATTATATTTTTGATTGATTACTGATAACCACAGATTGTTATGTTTTCAGTAATCAAATAGTAATACAAAATGAGTGCAAGCAGTTTGGTATCAGAGACAATATGGAAGGAAATAGAGTCTACACGCACATGTAAATAACTTCATTACTCTATACAACTTTCAATGCTTTCAATCAAGGTTTTATATAGTGGCCACAATTGTTATTTCACAGCAATCCTTGATAATACAGAAAATTGAGTATAAATGCTGCTAATGTGGCCAGAATTGCAGTCAAAATGTGGTTGCAATTGTGGTTTTGTAGCAATCCTTGATATTACACAAAATCGAGTATAAATTTTGCTAATGCGGCTGAAATTGCATGACAATGTGACCGCAAAACCCCAGTAATTCGTGATGTTATGGTTGCATACTATTTTTTAAAACCTTACTTTGAATTACTGAACCGTAACCCAAGGCCCTCTTTTCATGTCACAGTGAATGATGATCAACTTTGGACGTAAGTCAATTGCTTACCATAAGCTTCTTGTCTTGTTTTCAAATCATTATTATCATGCCATAGTATTGGGTTTCAATTCAAGTTGTGTTTTGGTCACAAAACCAGTTTGCATTTCTTGTTTGGCAAGAACTTTGAGGGAGCCACTAGAATTGTTGATCAAAGAGGTGTCAGCAAGATATCTGCTCACCCCAGTGGAAGGTTTATCTTTCAGGTTTCGGTCTCACCTTGCCACCTCTCTTCCATTTCATTAAATGGGTCATACTTTGCTTAAAATTTGGATATGGTTCCAAAATCAGTTATTTTCACACTCGACTGGCTTGCAGGAAAGAGAGAGATAGGAAGAAAAGAGAGAGAAAAAAACTGAGAAATGTAATGGGCGGTGACATGGTGTTATTGCAAGGGAAGATAGAAGTATTGAAAGATATATGGAGGGGGTAAAATTTTTGGTACGAAAAGATTGAGTTGTGTTGATTTATATGAGCTAAAAGTTGGAAGGAAAAAAATGTCTTTGATTTTCAAATTTGCATACCAATATTGAGAGGGGAAATGCTTATTGGACAACTAAAGTGGGACAACTTTTGTTGCCCTTTTTGATTTTAGGAGAATATTTTTGAGATACACGTATATGAAAAAATAAAAAGTACGATTGAGATAATTGGATATGGTGTCCATTATTCGGTGTTCAAATAATGAATGTTTTGACTTTTGAGAATCTAAGGAGCCATTCATTTGTTTGATATGGATTTTGTATTCGTTCTCCACTTGGTTTAGGTTACAGGGGAATCCCGAAGAAAAGACCAGTATCTCTGTTTTGCTGAAAACTTTTGCGCTTGTTATTCTTTCTTCTATGATGTTGTCAACAGAGGAGAACAACTTTGTGTAAGGCCGTATACTTGTTTCAGCATCTTAAGTTGATTATAAACATTCATATTATTCGAGTGCTCAAATATACAATGTGCATTGTGTGTGTTTCAGTGTAAACATCAATTAGCTGCAAGACTTGCTGCATCTTTGGGATCGTATGTTGAAGTTAAGGTGTCTGATGAGGAACTAGCTGTGGTACTATCCAAAATATAGCCCTTGCTTTGTAGAATAATAATTTATAGTAATTTATTTGATATTGAATTTATGGAGCAAGGAACATATCATTTTTTGATTTTTTTTTTGGTGAACAAATCATTTTTAGATTTAGTTAACAGTGATGATCTTAAGAGCATGTTTGGTTGACTTTTCCTTAGATAAAGAACAATTTATTCATAAAAAGTGTTTAGATGGGCAAAAATAAAATTAGATGAAGGACTGAAGTCATTTGTTGTAGCTTTAACATTGTTTGAAACTTTTTTATCTTCTTATAAGACAACGGTAAAATCAACACAATTCAACTTCAACTAATCAAACAAGAAGTTTTTCTTACCTCAACTTACTTTCAAAAGGCAAATAAATGAAGAAAAGGGAAGAACTTTTAACCCTAGTGAGTCTGCTTCTCACTAGGAATTCAAGCTCTTCAAACTTGAATCTCTACTTCTATATAAACTTAACTTTAGTAAAGAATCTAGGTGCTCATAAAAAAAGGAAAGTATCTAGACACTCTTAGTGAAGTTAGCAGAAGAAAGGTATTCTCTAACGTCTTTCTCTAGAATTCAGAAAAATAAACTCATGAAATTCATATTTCTGAAAACCTTATATATCTTCTTTATTCTTGATCAACTTTGATATCAACTTAAACAATTATAAACAACTTAACTCAATTATTCTTTAACTTTTAGATCTCTATAAAACAATTAAAAGTACAACGTAACAGCTTAAAAACACTATATATCATTATACAACACATAAACATGCATAAAAGCAAAAACATGCAGTGTTACACATAGTAAAATCGTAAAATTTGATTTATACATATACCTCAGTCCCACCTTCATCGCTATTTCACATGGCATTGCTAATTAATAATTAAAGTGACTAGAATCCAATTACATAAGTCTTCTAATGCGCTCAAAAAATGCTATTATTTTTATATCGGTTGAGGCATAAATCGATGTAGATTTGGGGGATATTAAACATCGGTTTGTGAATTGATGTAGAAAGGCTCACACATTCTTGTGTTTATGTCTATGATCCTTTGATGTCCTGTGCTTAATTTAAAATATGAAACAAAATCATTTTCTTATTAATCAATGTATAAAACCAAGGACTATTTACCTGTTAGGGATACAACATTAGAAATCATTCATCACTTTCATACAAATAAACATTATATGACAGTCAGTAATACAAGCTCAAAGAGTAATGATAATCATTAAATTTACACTAAAAGAATTATGCCAGTAATCCAGTTTTTATTGTTTTTACGGGTATTTAATGATTATAATTGCCTTTTGAACTTATATCCAAATCATATGTATATATTTTTTTTATTTGATAAAGAAGTATATCTTAGCGATAAAATGATACTTTTAATCGTAATTTCATTTTTAATTTAAATCATTTTAAATTAATAACTTTTGATAAATCATATGCATTTTTAATCCATACGTGTTTATGTCATACTCAATTTATTGATTTTCTCTTCAATATTGAAAAAAGGCACTAAAAATATTTCTAGGTTATGCACTACAAAAAAAAAATATAGGAGTTTATTGGCGGTTCATTTCTCCACTAAATGTTATAATTAGCTGGTAACCATCACAAACAACTACATTTTATGACGGTCTAAAGCCACTACAATAATTAAATTTATTATACATTTCCCTTACTGACATGTAGTCCATTCTCGTCAAACATCTTGCGTGTTTCTAACTTTAACTCATTTATATTATTTCTGTCAAAGAAAACTCATTTATTTTATTTCAATAAAAAAGGAAAAATATTGAAAAATAAAAAAAATTAAAATGTGTTTATTTTTTATTGGGTAAATATTAAAATGTATATATACATATTGTGATATTCATATGTATACAAGACAAACAAAAGATAGAAGTTATTTTATCTTTGGAGTTCGACAGCATGAAGCCCAGGAAGCTTTTTATTTTTTTTTTAATAATTTTTTTTTTATACATCTCAAGGTTTCTAGATGCTAATCCCGTCACAAGAATGACAGTGACAACAGCGACAAAGATGAACTCATAAATTTGTCCTAGGAAAAAAATCTAAAGCAGAATATCTTCATCACATACTCTTTGATGAGGATAATATTGGATTGAATGTGTCATTTCTATTGAATTGCCAGTATATCATGGAAAGAAACGTTATCAAACTCACTTGGATGGGTCTCAATGAACAAGGTACCATCAGTCCATCACCATGTCCATGCCCGGATGTTTCTTAACGGCTAAATGCATCTAAGTATGTCAAGAAATATGTACGTGGATTTTATTTTATTTTTCTTAAATATGTTTTTAGTCCCTTAAATTTAGGGTAAATTTGTTTTTGGTCCCTCAAATTTAAAATTGTTGTTTTTATTCTCTCTAATTTCAAAAAATCTTATTTTAGTCTTTATATTCAAATTTTGTTAAAAAATTTATCAAACATTATTGCATAAAACCTATCTATTAATATCTCTATTAGTGAAAATATCACATTAAATCCGATTGATATTGTATAACTGTCTTAATTAGTCATTTTCAGATATGTTATTGGTGACCTAAGAGACTAAAACAAGATTTTTGAAAATTACATGGACTAAAAACAACAGTCTTAAATTTGAGGGACTAAAAACAAATTTATCTTAAATTTGAGGGACTAAAAACATATTTAAGCCTTATTTTTTTATATTAATCTTTACAATTGAATTTTATATTTCTTTATCTTTGTCATAAGTGTGCCATGCCAATTGCCAAATGCATTTTTTCTTCGTTAGGAACCAACACGCAACACGATAATTTTGATGTTAGAACTTGAAACTTCTCTTTAATATTGTTATTCTAATAGTTTCTATTGTTGATAAAAAAATTACAATTTTGATAGTTCCTGCACTTTACGAAAAAAGCTGTCTTTAATAAATTTTAACAAATAATAAAAAGGTCATATATGACAATTACTTTATGATCAAGTATTTTTTAAACTATAATTAATTAATTAATTAATTAAAATTTACATGGTTAAATAAACAAAAAAAAATTCTAATAAAAATGAACGCTTAAAAATTATGTTTTCTTATTGAGAAATATTAATAGTACTTTATTTAATATTTCTTAAAAATAATATTTTTTTAATTTATCATAATTACAATGATTGAAACAAGATTTGAGCTTAAGATCTTATGAATACTACTTTAGTCTCTCTACCACTAAGTCAACTCAAATGGTTTTAATGACACACTTTAATACTTTTATTTCTAACATTATCCATTTTTGGATGAAATTTATTACAAATTATCAAATGTCTATTTTGATGATGTATAATGTTGTTCATACCTTGCTGTTCACCGTGGTTAAATATTTTTATGAGCAAATATGAATAAATTGCCACATGTTCTATGAGAAAGTGATTCCTGCACACTGTTACTTTAAAGATATATCTTATGTTTCAGACCTTCTAAAGAGTTTAAACAACTTGCATGTATTTACCCAACAACATGAAAAACTAAAATTTTTTTTTGTTGAGTTCTGTACTTTAAAATGGTGTTTTTTATATTAAAATGTGTTATTAATTAAAAGATTAAATAATTTGTATTAATTTTACTTTTCTTTATTCAAACTTTATTTTTTTTATTTTTTCATAAATTATTATAACATTGAATACTTTTTAAAAATTCTTGTTGTCTAGTAAAACTTTGTAAATCTATAAAAACCTTTCGAATCTTATAAAATTTAATAAATTTGTATGCTAAAAGTTAAATCTAATAATCTTTTAAAAATCTAAACTTTTTTTTTAATTAAAATATCAATCCAATACATCCCCTAATATTTTATAATGACTCGCTCATTTTTAAATTTTAATTTTTTAAAATTCAAATGTTTTGTTAATTTCGTACCAACTATATATTTCATATTATATTTGATTCATATTTTTTAAAATTTACCATATCACTCTGTTCATGTCGTGTCATATCCATATTTTCAACCTAAAAAACCTTGCAGTTTCATTGACAAATAGCAAATATTTAAGAACATCAAACATCCTAAAGGCAAGAATCAATCCAGGCACTGCATGATATTCTTCCTTTTTTCCCGCTCAATGATAATTTGCAACCAAGAGAAGAATGGAGGTTACAAAAAGGCCTAGTGTTTTAATACACAGAATAGAAGGAATCTCTATGTATAATCAGAGGTTATGTTCTTGAAACAAATTTTAGCGTGGTAATGAATAACCTTCCTCAAGACATTGTGTTCTGATATCTTGCATTAGGCGTTGAAGAGAAGTTGGGTTGCTCGTAACAATAGCATCAACATGTTCAAACAACACGTTTTGCATGGATTCCACATCATCAACTGTCCAGGCATACACCTTTTTGTTCCTCCTATTCACCCACAATGCAAAATATGGTAAGTAGTAAATACGCCACACATTCATACTGTAAGTGCAAGCTGTCAGATACTTTAATAAAGAATACCACCTGTGCAAAACTCTCATAAGCTTTCCATCAATCAATGGATGATAGACACCAACAACCTCCGCACCTTTCATTCTCAACAAATTTGTCCTAGCTCCAGTAGAAGGTTCCCTCATAACAATGTATCCAACCTGCATTATCCCAGACTGAACTGTATCGAAGTTGGAAGTGAACATTAAAAGCATGTAAAATTAACACACGTCTTCGACGCAATTCCAGCCTGCAGCTCCGCCATTTAATTAGGAACAACTAAGGTAAAGACTAGAGTCAGTTAATGTAAATCTTAACCCCACTTCCTTACCGCATTCCAAACAAAACAACCTCCATTTTGTTAACGAAGGTAAAGTCTTCATTTGTACTACCCAATAGGCCCAAATAGGGATGGTAAAAATACTCGCACTCGCGGGTATCTGTAGGTAAAATCCGCTACAGATAATAAATGGATAGGTTAATTGGGTACTCACGGATAATGGGAACGGATAATTTTTTACCCGTTTATAAACGGGACAGGAGCGGGTATGATGATATTCATACTCGCAGATACCCATTTAATAATATTTCTTAAATATCCTAATTATCCTTGTACCACATAATTCTAAAACTACACTCTCTTATCTTTGTGATATGAGACTTTCACTTACTTATGAGATTGATGTATCTTAAGTTATCAATTATCTTGTATTTTTATTATTATTTCAACAAAATTAACGTTAAATACAAGTTCAAAATTAACATTGAATTTTTATTTTTAATATTTCAATGACATCAAATATAAACTTAAAATTATTTGTAATATAATTTTTTTAATTTCTTAAAAAATTTATAAATATTCATGGATATCCGTAGATATTCAAGAAATTCATGGATACCCGTGCGGATATGGGGTGGGTATGGGACCAATTTTCATCCAGCGAGGCGGGGACGGATTTACTATTACCCGCCCCTATAGGGCCCCATTGCCATCCCTAGGGCCCAAATCATTATAACTCCCCTAATAGTTTGGATTGGTCAAGACTGAATTTTGATTTCTGAGCACTTTTTCATGTCATTATATTTCAAAGGTTGAGACAACTAAAGCAGGAACTCTTTTGAAGCATGTAATGCGTGAACTGTTAATAAGCTTTTGGAGGTGCTTAGCTCATGGCTATTTTAGACCGGTGGCTTTAGACAGCCAGGGTTTGCAGAGAAGATGTGCTATACTAGTTCAGTTGTCTGTTTGGTTTTATCTTTTTCACTTCTTTGGTTCATCCAAGGAGGATCCCTATTCTTATCCTCTCCCTTCTCTAATAATATTTCTTCTTTATTCCAAAAAAAAAAAAAAAAAAGGTAGCTTCGTATGTATTTTCCATTTTCTGAAAGAATCAAAACTAATATTCTTTTTTGCTGCAGTGCAACTATCACGGTCAGAAAGCCTGGATGACTCTGATGGCTTTGTTTTTCCAATAGACTCAAAATGCATTGTATCATCATTTGGTAGGAAGATTGAATTACCTTGTCACTAGACTAGACATCACATTTGCGGTTAGTGTGGTTAGTCATTTTCTAAATACTTATGATATCCATTGGTAATTCAATCTTCCCAGATCTTTTTAATGGCTCCCCCTACCTGAAAGAAGCTTCACATTGGGATCCACAAGAGTATCACTAGGACGACAATCAAGCATACCGATCTCAATCAAAATGTCCAAAGCATACTTCTATTGGGAAATGACAATGCCCCAGGAGGATTGGGCAACTTCAATTCCCAAGTAGTATTTGAGTGAATCCAAATCTTTCATTTGAAACTGACTATGAAGATGACATTTGAATCTAAAGATACCATCAAAGTCATCATTAGCAATGATAATATCATCAACATAGACGACCAGGTAAATGCATAAGCCAAAGGAAAAGTAAAGGGAAAACACCGAGTGATCAATCTCACCAGAAGTCATGGCAAAAAGGTAAATCTGTTTGGACTATCAGATGACTCTAAAAGTAGTTTTGTAACTTTCATGCATATTCTACAAGGGCGAGTGTTGCTTTCTCAATCTTTAGATATCTAATTTCAGCTATATGTAGTACTCGACTAACAAAGTAGACAAGTCTCTATTCATCTTCCAATTCCTAAACTAACATTGAGCTTATAGTAACTCAAATCTGTCTTTTATCTTTTAGCCTATTTGTCTAATATTATTCAAACAGCTTATCAAGATGTGGATTATACTTTAGTCTTATGATAATTGTATGTTTTATGACTTATATAGCTTGTATAAGCTAGTGGGCCTGGCCTAGCAACTTGGTTATACGTTGATCAACATTGGGCTGATCGACATATGATTGATTGGCCTTAGTTTGGTCCAAAGTACAGCCTAAAGTTGTACACTCTTCTGTTCTTATGCTCCCCTGCACTGTTTAGGAAAATAAATCACATTTTTCCCCTCAACATTTTTTTTATTGAAAATGAAGCCTAAAAAAATAATAAATGAAAAGCTACCATACAACTATACAAGACAGCAAAAGATTTTCATAAGATAGTAACATCAAAAAGACATGCAAACAAAGCTAAATAAACTACTTACTGTAATTTCTGATGAGAGTTTAATAACATCCCTTGCTAAATTGTCACTTTTTGCCCATATGAGGCAGTTGCTGCACTCCGTCTTCTCAACCTAAAACAGATATATTGCATTGACAGATGAAAACTACATGGCTGCAAAAGCAGAAAATATTTTGAAGAAAAACTAGGGACACATGCCACAGCGGTAGAAGAGATATAATGGAGAGAAATGAGAGCTAAAGAAGATAAACATGGAACACTTGCAACTGGGGTTTAGGGTTTAGGGTTGATGTAACAGAGATGTAACAGAGAGCGATTAGTGATAACAGGATTACAGTTGATGGCAAGAGGTTCACCAACATCTGCTAGTTCCCCCAATACCAAAAGGGTGACCCAGTGAACAAAGTTCTCTTCTAGTGGAGTTTGGGGATAGCAAATGTATGGATTGCCCCCATATGCAGAGAGGCTATTTCTAGGATTTAAACTCGTGACAACCACAACACAAGGCTAGTACTATTATGCAAAATTTCACCCTCAGCTCCATCAATAAGACCGTTGTCAGGAACCAAGGTATCAAACAAGAGAAATAGTTGAACTAGAACTTATATTTATCTATAATGAGGAAAATTCTTCTATATATAGTGGAATATGAGAGAAAACAGAAGAAAAGAAATGACTATGGTAGGAGATAATCTCCTTGCAAAATATGAAATTGCAGCTAACCAAGTAAAAAAAGAGAGCAAACACCAAATGATGAGAAAAGCCAGCCTCTCCTCAAAATAACCACCCAAAACCTCTCAAAATAATCCCCCTTCATTTGGTTACCCTTCCTCCATGTATACCCATTTTCTCTCTCCCCCTTCGGACACTGCATAATTCTCGCATGACCCTCCCCACTCTTTTATTGCCAGATAACCAACCATTCAGTTATTTTTCCCTTCTTTTGTAAACATGACTTATGAGCTTAACAATGACCTCATTATTTTCTTTCTTTCTCCATTTACTGTTGGGAACCAAGGGGTTCCAATATTAAAAAGTATAGGCTAAAATAAAGAGAGATTAGTTAGTTCCTGGGAGAATAGCTATTTTGTATTGTTTTAAAAGTGGGCCTATTAATTAATAGATGTTTTGCGGGTAGAGAGAGGGGGCATGAGAAATTGTTGTATGAAAACTGTATTACAGTTGTTTCAAGGGTATTCTTCCCTTGGCAGAGCAATAAACTCTAATTCTATTCTTTATTCTCTCTCTTCTCTTTTTTTTTCCTTCTTTCTCTCTGATACATAGGGAGGACCTACCATTTACTCTCAAGCCATATAGACCCAATAAATTGAAGACTCAAACGATTATAGAAGAGATTAAAGACATGCTAGTGTTGAACAACTAACGGGGAGATTAAAGACATTGGAGTTAGTATCCTAGAGAAAGACAAGGAAGAAGGGAGTAGGCTAGTTTGCTCAATTAATGCATGCTACTTTGCTTTTAATACATGAAACAGTGGGAAGGAAATGTTCAAAGAGGAAGGGAGGAGGAGTCCAACCCATCACAGGGGAGCAACAAAGATTTTCACTTGAATACAAACATAAGGGGGTTTGGTGGTGAGTTTTAAACTTGGTCAATTAAGTTTGTGGTAATGGCCCTTAAGTTCAGGAGGAAAAACTGTATTTTACCCACAAGGATATTGCATTTATAGGAAAGAAGTCTACAACAAATACAATTATACAAGTCTTCAAATTTTAGCATTGAAAAAAGTTAAATTAATATGATCCCGAAAGTCAAAACACTAAAGCCCATATGCACAATAGCAGGGGATTTATTTTATCATGCCATTCATACATCTTTCAGAAGGCTGTCAACTAAAGGGCAAGCTAAAGCTTTTATACAGTAATAGTGCCAGACAGTAAAGAAAACAGGGACTAAAAGCCACCAGTAGATGGACAGTAAGGCACAAATGTATTATACTTACAACAGAGATAACATCTTTGGCAAGCTCTTTCTCATAAAATGGGGGTCCAACCTTAACATCTAGAATTATCTGTCGTACTGAATTTGCAGTCAACTAAGAAAAGTACAGTGGAACCACAGTCAAAAAATACAACATGTAAAGAGATAATTGGCAACAATAACAGATAAAAAATAAAGAATACAATAAAAGAAAGCAAGTATACCAAAATGTGGTGAAAGGGATAGATCTAAAATTATTCAAGAAAATCAAGCAAAGAAAAGAAAGAGCACTTCCTGAATCTTGGGATCATACCATCAGAGCATCTTGGATTGTGAGTATACTTTCATTATTAAACTTCGACGTAGACTGACGTGAAGCACTTAGCTCTCTTATCTACAGAAATAAACTGAACACAATCTTAGTCAATGTTACTCCTTTTTAAAGCCTCAAAGCATTCTTAGTAAGGGCAAAAAGAATAAAAGAACATGATTTTAGAATGTATGTATCAACTAGTTTTAGGGTGAAATGATCATACACAAGTTTTTTTTCTGTAAAAGCAGATCCACAAATCCTGGTGGTGATTGGTGAGGCTAATATAGTACTCAACAGTCTACAACAGTTTTGCATGTTAAATCCTAACCAACATCTAAATAAGAATCACATGCCAGAATTTACAACTAGTTCAGCTGGAGCACCACCAAAATTGCTTGCCAAGAACCAACTATCCCTTGGCTGAATGCACAAGAACAGTTTTATATCTAACACTTAACATGTCCCCCTCATGAAAGACCTCTTTGAACTTCAAGCATGGACAATACAAAGAACTCGTTTGACCCTGTAGACGATGCTGAATGATTAAGATGCCCTCCTTACAACTACATCTGTTTATTTTTCACCATGCCAGTCAGCAACTAGTTTGATTAGTGGTAGGTGACTAAACTCTTACAACGAAAATCTCATATTAATACAGCCATTCATCAATAAAAATGAGCTTGCAACATTGAAAAGTGCAGTAATGCAATTAACTTCAATGCTCAGAAGATAGCAAGACCTTCTAAGAAAACAACACTAGAAACCCCAACAACACGATGAAATTTGCACAAAATGCAAATTTGCTATTCTCACCTCTTTTGAGCTCATGTAACCAACTTTAGAACTAGCATTTCCAGTTAACCGCTGCAAATCCCTGCCTGCATCATGTGAGAATTAATCTCAAGGAGGTTATAACGCTATCTCTACAAGCAATGAGATTTAATCTCATAAAAAAAAACCAGAAAACGGCAAAAACCTAACATCTGAACTTTTCAAACATGATACTACATCCAATTGAGTTAATAAAGGACTTATATCAAGGCGAGCCTAGATAGACAAACAAACCCCAAACACATTTATACTTGCAGAAAAACCACGTTATAAGTATTTTTCACGAAATTCCAGATGAGTTTATTTCGGCACCAAAATTGAGATAGAAAATGATTTTAAGAAATGCTAGTACAGAATTAATGATGTTGAGAAGACAAAAGTACCTGTCATGGAGAGCAAACAGAACTCCGTCTGAAGAACGAGACACATCGATCTCAACGCAGTCGACACGAGACTGAAGAGCGTGGAAATACGACGCCATCTACGAGGAGAGAACAATCCGAAATTGGCAACCATCAGATGAAAAGAAAAAGGAAAAAGAAAGAAAATGAAGAGAAGAATCCGAAATGAGGAAGAAAATGGAAGGAGAGAGAGGGAGAAACGCACGGTGTTGGGAGAAGCCTTGGAGGAATCGCCACCGTGGGCGCAGACGAGAGGAGGAAGGGTGAGCCAACGGCAGCTTTTGTGTTGCATCTGCGGCGGAGATGCATAGGAAAATGAAAGGGCGTAGTTTAGGAAGGAGAGGAACGTAGGGTTTGGATGGAGAGCAGAAGCGAACCTGGTGGAAGCGTCGGAGACGGAAGTGGAAGAAAATGGGAGGCAGAATGGCTAAGATGGCCAGAGAGAGAATGATAAGCTTCCGCGACGCAAGTCTTAGTCTCAACGCTTTTCTTGCCGTTCTTGATCTTGAACTCTGCATTCTTCCTCACTTCTTCCCTCTCTTCCTCCACTTTCGTTTCGGCTCAACAACAACTGGAACACTATTTATAAAAGATTATTTATAGGGATTAATTAAAAGTTTAATTATGGACTAAAATTAATAAAAATACTAAAATAAAAATTACAAAAGTTCGAAAAGTAAAACCATATTTAACTTATATTTATATATCTCATATACATTTTCTCTTAGTCTTCATTTTATGTTTATTTATTTTTCTCATATTTTCTTTTTAAAAAGTAAGTTTAATTAAATGACTACAGAATTTTTTATTATAAACTCTTTTGTACCTTTGATTAAATACTGGAACATTTTTTTTTAGACGGCACATGGTTTTCTTTTATTTATACCAAATTTCAAATATGTGAAAATTAAAAATAAGAAATACATTTGTGTTTATATATAATGTCTGAAATCTTCTCTACGATGAAAAATATTTAATTTTATTAATTAGAAATATGTACGAATAATATTTAATTTATTAAATTAAATATAAAGATATATATATATATTTATTTATTTATTTATTTTTAATATTTTCACTTTAAATTTTTAGAAATTTAAATTATTTTTCTTTAAATTTACTTGAGATAATTTTTATTTTATTTTAAATTTATATCAAATAAAATATAATTAATATAATTTTGCAATCATTATTTTTTATATTAAAATTTTTATTTTTATATTAATTTATTAAAAAATATTTAATTAATATTTGGATGGATACTTAAATAATACAAATATATTTAATATCAAACAAAAATATGAATGAAACAAATTTCATATTTGGTCGAGTAAAAAATGAAAATACGTAAAATTCAAACTCGGGGAAAAAAAAAAGTGACTCATACATGTTATTTATCCTAAAATTTCAATTACAACTAACATGACTTATTACTCTTGTATGCTTCGTTATTTTAGCTAAATATGTTTCGGCATATTCAACTCGATTGAATATGTTTCCACAATCGATTGGGGCTATATTTTATTTTATATCTTTTAATTTAATATTAAAACAGAAATAATTAATAAAAAAATTTAATTTTAAAATATTTTTAATTTTTGTTTCTTTCTTTTATACTTTTTAAATATTATTAAATTTATTTTTTCTTTACTATTTTTATATATTTTATTTCTTTCTAATATTTTTATTACATAAAATTCAGTTAATTTTACATTATGTTTCACAAAATAAAATATAAAGAAATTTATATATATAAAGAGAAGAGGATACTTCAATAACAAGTTTTGATAAATTTATTTTACTAAATAATTCATTTTATATATTACATATCAACGATCTAATTATTAAATTAAATTTTTTTAATGTATTTATAAATTTTTAAAAAAATTGAAAAATATATATTACTTCATTTCATTAATTTAAATTGACGGATAATCATAAAAATAATTTATACGTTGATTTGAATCTATATAACAAAGTATCATATGATTTTTAAATTTTTTAAAAATTTATAAGCTTATATATGTAAAAAAAAAAAACTTTAAATTTAATAATTGCATCATTGAACTTTAATGTAAAATATGAATTATTGAATAGAGTAAATCTATTAAGAATTTCTCCTTAATAAAGGTATTTAAAAATTACAAATACTTGTTAGATCATCTAGTAAGTTTGGTCCTTAAATCTTAAACTCTTAAGTTTGAATCTTGTGTTTATAAGAGTAGTTAATTTTTAATATTATTTTTTATTATTTAAAAATTAAAAGATAAAATCATTTAAAAATTATGTACACCAAATCAAATTATCGTTTTTATATATGTTATAAATTATAGATTATAGAATAAAATATAGATAATATTAGTGTTTAATATATATGAGTTAATGATTTTCTTTTAATACAAATACAGCAAAGGCACTGATGCTAGTGTTCTATAATGCAGATAGCAAGTGAATTCTCTTGCTAATGATATGTTTTATGGTGTATAATGGTATGTTGTATAATACATTTTGTACTGGCCAAGATAATAACACCTTAGACAGATCAATAGAATATTTGTTCCCTGAAAAGGGGGATTGTTGAGTAAATTTCTAACCATCATACTATATCTATTAAAACACCTTCCTAAACTATGCCACCCTATCTCTCACATATTTTGGTTAACTTACTATCAAATATCTTCAACAAGACATGATCATGATTTATGAAATACCTGTATAAAACAGTATCCCTAGTGACACATACGCCTCTGACTTGCAAGTACTCCATTCCCTTAGAGAGAATTCAGAGACTTTGAAGGGAGAAGAACAACAGCAGAAGGAGGAGCATCACCAAGGTTCAGGTAAGAACACATCTCTAAAATGATATGGAGATGTATTGGTTGTATATTATTGAAGTTGGGGTGTACAACTATACAGTATAGTTTTTTTTTTTTTTTTTTCCAGTTGGCTTGTAGTTATTTCTAAGTTCATGGATAATGGCTTTTAGAAGTAGAAATCATGATACTTTGAGATTCTCCAGAATTTCTGAAATATCAGAGTCCTCATAGCTCTTCTCTGCATAGATAATGTTGGGGCTATCTTGGGAGAATACATCCTCTCTTTTGTAACTGTCTTCACTGTGAAGAAGCCTCTCACTGCCATATTCAACCAATCCTTTTAAAACAAGTGTCTTCTGTATGCCAGCCATGAGTTCTTCATAATCCGTATCACCTTTTTCTCCCACAAATACAACTACTTTGGATAGATCAATTCCCCACTTAACTGACAGATACCTAAATTCATACACAACAACAATGTCACAAGGCCATTTATTTTACATCCAGTTTTGTGTACATTTGAAATTCCTACATAAAATGTGTTGGGAAGACTCAATAATGTTCCTGACCTTAGTGCTTGTTTTCTTGAAGAAAATAATGGTATCACATTTAACCTCAATCCTGCATGTGTATAGACCAGGTTACAGCGTAAGCCTCTCATTCGCAGCCTTTGGCGAAGCTCATCAATCTTCCGGATCTGCGATTTGTAATCACAAGTTTTAAGTTACAACATTCAAAAAGGTTAAACTATTCACTTGGTTTCTATAGTTGTCTTTATTTTAGATTTTAGTCCCTATACATATTAAAGTTAAGTTTTGGTCCTTAGCGCTAATACCAGAAGAATTTCTAGTGGTATGAAACCTCTACCAAAACTTTATGGTGGTGACAGGTGATAAATCAGTACAAAAACTCTGTAGGGACTAAAATTTACAATTTTCTCGTATATGGACTAAAACATAAAATAGGGACAAGTATAGAAACCAAGTGAGTAGTTTAGCCTTTAGAAAGTGTTCATTAAAAGGTACCCTTTTCAACAATCAAGACAGATTCAGTTTTCTTAAGAAACAAGTTATCTTACCATGGCTCCTGGTTTCACACTATAGGAGAAGCACCTTGAACTGCAACCACTGGCATACTCTACAATGTCATTCTCCTCTCCATCATCTATTCTAGCAAGCCTGGGTATTGTTGATCTAATATTCTCACCTGGCCATGCATACTCAACATGGGCCTCATAATCAGCATCAGCCATTAAATCTTTCCATGGATAATACATTTCACTTCCACTGTTGCAAACCACAGCATCAAATTCTTCTATGTTTACTTGGAATCTGTTCAATGCTTCAATAGTCTCTTGTAAACTTAAACCAGTTAGCAACACCACACCAACACTGCCTGATCTGATGCCTAGTCGCACAGCTTTCATCACATTTGTGATAATATCCTGAAAGGCCTCAGCTATATTTCCATCATCATCATAACAATCTGCAGCAATTACAACAAGCTTTTGCCTCCTACCAGGAAAGTAACTGACATTAGAATTGCCAGTTGAAGAGACCCTGCACATTATTGCTTCAATAATTTGCTTCTGCCTTGCTGCAGGGTCCATCTCTCCATTCAGCTTGGAGTCTCCTTCTGTGGAGAATCTAAAAGAAATATCTTCTACATCTTTCAGTGAGTCGCTTACAGGTTCTTCAGCCGTTGGTGTAATTTCCAAGCGGGAGGTGGAGCGGCGGTTCTTGCCATGCTCAACATGGGAGAGGTAGTTGCGACAGTGTTCAGGCCAAGAAAAACGATGGATGTTCTTAAGACCATTTTTGCGGCACTCTTGCCAAAGATTTTTGTCTGCAACAAGCTTTAGCAGTGCATCTTCTATGGCTTTCTGATCATGTGGATCAATCAAGAGTCCATTGTTGAGTGCCTGCCATAGTGAGATGTAACACATGATGAAATAACTTCACATGTAAATAAAGTATGGAAAACACTAACTAGTGCCCTCTTAGTGCACTGGTTAAGAAACCAAAAGTAAAAAAGTTTTCATTTAAAAGTACATCTGCCCATTCTCCCGTATAACTTTATTTTAATTTCCAATGGAAACTTCTTACATATTGAATCCTTAACCACTGTCCATAGGGAACTGGTTAGCAGGATCCATAAAGCATATACTTCCTCCATTTTTTTTTTCTTTGACGTTGAAGGTTACGTACAAGAATTAAGAAAATGGTTGATATTTTAGTTTTTCAAAGTATTTATTATTTATTTTTCTGTTATACCCTTTAGGTGGTTGGAAAAGAAATAGATACATTGAAAAATGAATAAACACATTATTCAGTAAACACATTAATTATCAAGGGTAAAAATGAAAAAGAAAATTAATTAGTCATTGATTTTAGAAAAGTGACAATGAAAAAGAACAAAAAAAAATAATGCCAAAACGACTATGAATAAAAGACGGAGGGAGTAATTTATAAAAAAGAGAAATAAAATGTAGCTTGCTAGCTTAGCTAGTCATTGTGAAATAGTAAAGCAGTATGATTAAATAGGAGGATTAAAAACTAAAAAGTGTTGATAATGATAACCCTGATTATAAATTGACTACTTGTCTGAAAATATGAAAGATGTAGCAAGAGAATGTAAAAACAGGACACAGGATTTATAGTATACCTTCAGAATATCTACTGGCCCTCCATTTTTTGTTGCAACTACAGGTAAACCATAAGCTGCTGCCTGTAGTGTGGGAAGTGTTAGATTATTTAATCTAATAATGACTCATGTAATTAAGGAATGATTTTTAATGAAAAGATATCTAATGTAATAGTTGTTAGACTTAAAACATATTAAGAGTCATTGGAGATTATTTTAAAGCTATTAAAATTATTTTCCTCTCTTCTCACTTCATTAAAAGTAATTTTGACATTAAATAAAAAGAATTTGAAAAAGGAGGTTACAGAAGTTAATGTTGGTTTTTTAGAAGCATAACCTCTTTTTCTCTCGAGACTTCTTTTGGTTTTTGACGTATCTTCATAAAACTTGTTTTCATGGAAGAAATTGTAAAAACTTAGAAAATTGTCAAGAATTGATTAAAGAGGTTTAAGAGACCAAGTAAAGAAAATAAGAGAAGGGATAACAACTTATTAGAAATTCTGAATTGCATTATGGATTTGGATATATCTTCTAAACTTTCTCATAGAAATTACATAGAAATAGTAGTGAGAAATATGTTATTTAAGATCTCTAAAGTATAATTTTCTTGTATGATATGAACACTATGAAATTACATGTGATTATAAAATTTACTGACAGGAAGAACAAGGAAACCATGTAATTTTCATATTTTTTTTTATACTGAATTATATTAATCATATTTCATTAGCTGAATGTCACTTATCCTATTAGCTATCTGAAATAGTATCAGCTTGAGGTTTACCTCAATAAGTGTGAGACCAAATGGTTCCACCAGAGCTGGGTTAATAAAAACTCCCTTCAAGAGACAAAACCCCCATGTGTTACTGTTAGCAAATATAATGTTCAAAACAGACGCGGCAGGTAAAAAGTCAGATAAACTGTTAAGACAATAATTAAGACTGATGTAGATTTGATTATTTAACAAATGAATTTAATAGGGTTGAAAACTAAGCTCTATCTATTTTGCATTCAATATTTTATACTTCCATCAATGTAACCTACTTTCTCTGCTTTGTCTATCAAATTAAAAGATTAGATTTATCATCTAATTACTTTGTATAGAGAAAGACAATATTCCACATTTTATCAAAACAATACAAAACCAGGTGTTATCAAACTTTATTCAAAGAATGCACCTTAGTCTTAGCAGCAAGACGATATATCTCTGGAACGTCAGATTGCTTATGATGCTTGGGATAAGCCACTTGACCGTACAAATCATACTTGTCAATGAGTTTAAGCACCATGGTAAGAACAGTAGAGCTGCTATTAGACATTTCTTCTATGTCATCTCTGTTGCCTAGTATGAGGGTCTGCCATAAAAGCAGAAAAATATTGCTTGATCACATGCTTGATCATATGGCAAATGTGCATTTTTCAAATAGCAATGGAAAACTCACCAAGTTAGCTAGTTTCCTTAGGGCCTGGCATTCCCCAAAAGCCTTGAGCAAAGTCATGACATTTTTCTTCGGGTCAGGGCGGGACAAGGCTAGTATTGTTGGTTTGTGAGGATTTGTGAAAAATCTCATTATCTGCTTGACACAACATAACTCATCTATAGATACTTTTAGGTATCAATATTTAAGGGAAAATTTTAGTTCTTCATCCATTAAAGAATCCTTGCATGGTTTTTATTCACAAAAGCATTGGTAAAGAAGTGATTCTTGTATGACCAGTTGATCACAATATGGCTTACATATTTTTTTGTCCTTAAAATATACCTATTTTTCGCTTTTGGTCCCTAAAATATTTATGCTTAACTTTCGGTCTTTGGTTTTAGTTTGTCATGACTTTTTTCAATGTTTTGGATGACATGTCAAACATCTTAGTACTGTTTCAAGTAAATTTAAGTAACTTGATATTTGACATATCATCCAAAACAGTGAAAAAAGCTACAGCAGAAACTTAAACAAAAACAAATTACAAGAACCAAAAGTTAAGCAAAATTATTTTAGGGACTAAAAGTGAAAAACAGGTATATTTTAGGGGCCAAAAAGATATTTACACCTCACAATATTTATAAGTACAAGTTCACAACGAATCAAGATCTTAGTAATCATAATAAACAATGAAGTACACGCTGGAGTCTTTTTAATATTATCTAGAATTTATAGTTGGTTGTGTGTGCATATAAGCAATGTGCTCATGCAATAATTGCTCTAGTGAAAAGATGGAATTGTAGGGA